GGGTACCTTGTAGCTTACCTAGACAGAATAGATTAGAATCCCAATAGCTATGAATCTAATAATTTACCAGACCTATTGATATTTATTACTTACCTTTACTTTTGAAGCATTTCTAATTTAATAGATACAAATATTTTATTAACTATTTTTAAAATTATAGTCACATATTAAGGGAGTATAATATATAGCAATATGTATCTATTGTAGTTACAATATTTATACATATATTTGCCCTATAATAGATATCGTTTATCCAATATATAATATCTAAAAGAAGAATCCGCATGTCATGAATATAGATATCCGACTGGTATGGGCGATATCGCAATAGATGGTCATCATTGTTCAAAAGAACTCAATATATAGATATCGGATATTATCTATCTCTATCAAATACTAAACTCATAAAAACGTCGAACCTCTTATAAAACTATTTTAGTTATTGAAATGTTTTGTCTTTTTCTTTTGCACTAATTTTTCAATTTGAAAGATAAATACTCTCTAATAGTTAAAATACATTTATAGGGGGAAAGGGATTGTTAGTAATGGAGACTGAGAATCCCATTGCTAGCAATATACCCAACCAGGTCGACCTCCTCGCGGTTCTCCCTGGAAACTATCATGGCTAATTCCTGATGAATTCATCATGAAGGGCTAACTGGCCTGTTTTCATTCTCATCTATCACCCTTCACTAGTGCTCCGCCAGCATATCCCGTTAGCGCAGGCGGGGTTACCATACCATTTTCACCCATCAAAAAATACATTTATAGGACTTTTTTATGTATGAAGGGTTGAGTATGCACATATTAAATACAAAAAAGGTTACCACTAAATAATCCACATTTCTTAGTAAGTTCTATATTTATTTTTCTTATTCGTTTTGAAGTACACATTCATCTCAAATACTTAATCACTGATTGATTATAATATAAATATTTTTATTTACCTCTTAAAGGAAAACAAAATCACATAACTTCGAGGAGATTGTGCAAAATCACATTCGTAAAGTCAAATAACAAATGTACAAAGTTAAATGAAATATCCGGACGAATATCAGGAGGGCAGTTCTTGTCCTTGACATAATTCAACCGCCATTCTGAGTTCAATTGAGACGGAAATCATGCCACAATACGAGAAGGTAGATTACGTAGTACGTGATCGACGTTGCTAACTACTTAAGTATTATCATAGCTTTCTTTCTCAATACTCTTTGCCGTTTGTAGGTACTTTAAAATAAAATAAAAAATATTTATTGGCTGTAAAACAATTTCGTATGAAAAGTATAAAAATTACAGGTACAGAATAAAAAATAATAGTAAAGGATTCCTATCTAATTGGAGGATTGTCGTTTATTGAAATGTGCTTTACTTATTTTCTATCTTAATAATTTTAAAATTAAATAAGTTTTAGATAGATAGATAATTTATTTACATTACTTACAGCAAATTACAACAAATTATAATGCAAACATACACATAATACACAGTAAAAGAAATAAAAGAATGAAAATAAAAAACCACCAAAAAAAAAAAACAAACAGAAAAATAAATATAGAGTAATATGTATTTTGATTACATTCAAATTTAGTTAAATTCGATTCGATTACCCTTTAACATTAGATCTGCCCCAAGAAAATTGGCGTTCAAGAATAAACTTTTTTTTTATTTATAATCCATAGAATCGTAATATGTTGTAGACACTGTCTGATGCTGATGTTTTCCTTGTATATATAATATATGTACAAGTATTTATAATGTACGTTATATGAGTACTATATGTATGTTATTTTTTATTTTTGTTTTAATTTAATATTGTTTATTACGTTACACCATCAATTATATTTTCCGTTTACTCCTGTTGGATAGATAACGCCATATGGCTATAAGTCCACCATTTAGTTACTTTCTAGGTGGATTAAAGTTAAAAATATATATATATATATAATAATCTTACTTCTTACTAATACCATATTATAAAAGTTAGGTTGACCGGCTACTTCTGATATACTTTTAATTTACCAATTTCGTGGACACTCATTGTTATTGTTTCTTTCACATACACCCACTCTAACTTGCCTTAATTGATTAAGCCTTATAATTTTTGTTTATATAATTAAAATCCGTTATTTGTAAGATTGCATTAGCGGGAGCGGGAAACAAAAGACTGCAGTTCCCTGTTTTTTTGTTGTACTTAGATTTCCAAGATATTTTATCGTCGATTGCTGATAATTTTTACTTCATTTAGGTTACATTTTGGTCGTCATTTCATCTGCGTGATTGTAATAAATATTAATTAATTAAAATAAAAAGTAACCTATGTTCTTCAAACTAAAAATGCGTGTTTTAGTAAATGACCATTCAATACGAACGAATTAACAAATAAACTCCCTATCACGTTTATGATTAGAAACAATATTTATTATATGATCAAATATTAACTATCCACTGTCGAACATAAGCCTTGTAATAGCAATTATATTTAGGTAATGCAACCTCTTTACTGTTTTTGTATGAAACAATGTTTTCACATTTTATAAAAAAATAAAAATAATATTCAAATTGTCAATATGGAAAAAATGCAAACTTTGATTAAAATGCAGATTTTTATTTAAAATAAATAAAAATACATTCACGGGATATACAGGCCCTCCCATAAGGAGGGTTCTACCAGTAGTTACCACGCTCGACAGGCGAGTCGATAACCATAGTTAGTCTGGTGATATTTTAAGAGAGACGCTGCTGCCCATTCCCTGGTCATTAAGTAAAAATATAAAAAATATACAAAACACTAAAAATGTTATCATAAACTTTATGAACCAATGAAATTCAATAAGTTAGGATTAAAGTTAAAAAGAAATATCTGCTATCAGGCACGTTGACGTAGGTTTTGTCATTACGGATTCCGTAAGGGTATCAGAAATATCGTTAAAGCAGTCGGAATGCGTGATCTGTGTATTGATAGCTTCTACAGATTATAATGGCTTGGCCAGACGAGAGATATCTCATTTAAGAAAAAGATTCCTGTCATTATTACCACATCTTCTCAGACTTTTAAATCTGTCGAAAGATTGAAATTTTTTATTTCAGTCATAATAAAACACTGAAACATTGCATGCTATTTATTGTTTTAAAATTTGTTTGTTTGCTAGTAGTTGCCACGCTTGGCAGGAGAATTGGCAATCGCCTACTGGCAAACCCCCTTTATGAGACAGACCTACATATGTTCAGCAATGGATAATTAACGGCTGATATTATGATGAATCATACATTTAAAATTATACAATTGTGTCTGAATATTGACAGATAATTCCTAAGAAATGTATCAAAGCAAATATATCGATGTGAACCCTCTTAAGTAACTTTTATTTTTATAAGTGAAAACACTTAACACCAAGTAGTTTTCGTGGTTGAAAACTGAATCCTCTATACCGGAACAATGGAAGCTTCCACTCGTTATAAATTTAATATGAAACTAACACGAAAGTAAATCATTTCGATGGATAAAATAAGTCGCGATTGGCGATGTATTTTTAAATTTAGAAATTTTTGAATTTAGAAATCGCGAAATATAACCGTAGTAATAAGTATATTCTCAAGTCATCGAGGAATTAGTTGACTTAATAATATTCATCTTTAGAAGTTCTTTAAAATGTTAACACATTTTTGCTAAGTCAACAGTATTGCCAACAACTTTTTTATAGAAAAAAAAATAAATGAGATAGATAATTTATTTATGCTAGTTACACAGATGACAAAAATCACAAATAGACACACACAAAAAGAGAGAAAAAAGATACAAAAAAGGATAAATACATAAAAAAAAAATAATAGATTGCTTCACGTGTATGTACCACAGTAACGCAAAATGGCCACGACTCTTTCAATTTGCCCTCAAAAGGGCAAAATACTAATTCCTTGTTGTGACTAAAAGACGGCCGCGAAATTCCCTAGCAAAAAAAAAATTATATACGAAAAATTGTAATAAATATTGTATATATAATCATGATTATGTAATATTTTATGACTGCAGTTGCTAATCCGCGTGCCAAGCATGGCAACTACTGGCAACAGCCTTCAAGAGGAGACTTATGTTCAGCAGAGGACAGTTAAAGTCTGATATAATGATGACGATGTAATATTTTAATAATACAGACTACAGCAGTGGGCATATTCTGTTTTACAAAAAATAACCAGTCATGCGTTATGAAGTGTTCACAACATGGACAGCTGTCGAATGCAGACAGTTATAGTACAGCAGTGACACTTATAGGTACTTTGTTTTAATGACAATGTTGATTTACCTCACTAAAGTTTTTGCTCCTTCACAATATATATATATATATATATATATATATATATGTTTATATGTATATATATTATATGACGAAAGTGGAGCGCGCTATTGATTAACACTGGCTGAGTACCAATGTAAAATAATAAGAAAGGATAAAATCAATTCAGTTCACCATCGTGACGAATACTTTCCAGACGGGAACTGTGAGGGTCATTCGGATAAGGTATAACATATTGACCCCCACTTGTACCCCTCTTATCAAGTCAACATCCACTGGGTTGGAATTTTGGAATCTTGGAATTTCCTCCATGGAAAACATCGTGATTGATTTTTGTTGAATTCATCGCGTTACGCTACCTGATATACTTTTATCTTCATTTATCATCTCTCGCTAATACCCCACCAGCATATACCGTTTATACTAGGGGACAAGAGGAGGAGTTCCATTCTATTATCATCCATGGAAAAAAAAATACCCATACCTCCGCTATTCCCCTTTAGCGAGTGCTATTATATAATATTAGAATTCTATCTGTGGTCTTCATCGAATCGTTCATCTCTGTAGGTAGCTGTTAGTATACTTGATTAGGTGGGCCGTTAATTTATTTGCATTTCCTAATAAATCTTTAGATAGCTATAAATAGGTAGTTTACACAAAGGTAAATGAACCAACTTTTAGTTTACCGATAACCGCGTAAATTTTCAGGACACCGAGCTCACACCGTCTTTGTGGGTGTCCACGTGCCAGCCCGCCGACACTCACACCGAAAGCACAAGCATCACCACCGCAATGGAGAAAAAGAAGCAGACAGACCAGGTGAAATACTTATTTTCTTTATTTTAGAAATTTTCAGGCACTGAATATGAGGATGACAGTCCTATCATATCTATGCTAAGTTTATATAAATATATAAAATTGGTATATACCTTGTCAAAATAAATTATTTCATCACTAAGTACAGTTTATGTAGATAATATTTGGTCTTATAATGAATAAAATTGGACGTTTTGTTTTGAAGTTAAGGCGAAATTAAAATATTACTATTTCCAAAAATTGCATATCAAAAAATTCCAAAAGTCGCGGGCGAAAGCTAGTATATACATATAATAATGTCTCTAACTTGTACTAATTACTTTATTTACACAGGAAAAATAGTAAGTAAAAAGAGCGTCAAGTATTAAAATATATTTAAAATGTTTTTGGCTAATACTTAATTTTTTTACAATGTTCGATGTATTACTAATGTGTGCAAGTTTGAAAATATAATTTTGACCATACAAAAGGTATAAACTATTCAAATGGCCATTAACGTATATGAAAAACCGCCTAATTTACAAGACTAAGACAATTTTAAGAACGCGTCATTGAAGAAATTAGACTATTATCCAATCAAATAAAAAAAAGATCTATATTCGGTTGTATTTTGTTTTTTTTTTTATGTTTGTTACCCCATAATTCTATAATTTATAAATCGACTTAGAAAATTATTTTTTATCTTAAACAATATAAAAGATAGAATTAAAATAAAATATTCTTTTATCCAAAAGAATATACTTATAGATTAGTCCCATATTTTTTTTTTTATCAAAATCGGTTCAGTAGTTTAATTTTTAAATCAAAATAATTGATTTTGCCACGATTGAAATCGATGTTTTTTTCTGGAGCATAATCCTAAATTCTTATCGAAACATTTAAAGGGGGATATCTACATATTTTTATAAAACTATAAGTTTGTCATTTTAACAGAAAATAGGCTTTTTTTTTGTTTATACAACTTAGAATGGCAGACAAGCTGACGGCCCACCTGATGGAAAGTGGTAACCGTCGTCTATAGACATGAGCAGTACCATGGACACAACAGAGTATACTGTTTCGCCCATGATACCCCCCTATATTGCCATTTCTGAGGACTCAGATGTTATTCCTCTGTACCCTGTAAATTCACGCCAAATCCCACCCTTCAAACCGAAACACAACCATGCAAACACAATTGCTTCACGGTAGAAACATGATCTACCTAATTGCACACATTATTGTTATCGGTAGATAGTACTTTACCAAATACTAGTTTTCTATTACCAGATTTAACTAGATATTATTTAGTCTCGACAATTATATTATTACACAAAGACATTAAATATAATATTTATATTTTCAAATCTATAATAATAAATACTCATTAGTAATAGTTAAAGTATCTACGTTCAATTCTTTACAAGGTTATATATTTCTTTCTATACAAATGATAGAAAATAAATTTTGAACAAAATCCACATTTACCTAAGTTTGATGAATTATATATTTATAACAAGAAGTTAAGAAGTTTTTGAACTCGTCTCCTAACTTTGAGTTTCGTACTTGTTTTGCATTAAGAACATAAGTCCTTAATCTAAAGTTTCATATTAAAAACATTATCATTAATTAAACATTTAATAAAACAGTGTTTTACATTTCATAACAATATATTGAAATTGTAGTAGATAATTAATTACTCATAGGTATCAAGATAAACACTGTTCTTAATAAACTTACATTTATCTAGCTAATGAAACAGAAATCCAACTCTTCTATTTGAGAATCTAAATAGACCTGAACAACTACGATTTCAGAGCAGTTTCCACCTTCAGACATTCACATCAGGTCGTGAAATGAATAAGTACTTCGTATCAATATGAGCATTAAAAGACTTATTAGCGTCAATAAACTAAAATGCTCCTGAGCTTAATGTTAATATATGCTTGTTTGCTCACGTTATATTATTCATAATTTATTATATCTATTATTATTCCATATTAATTGAACCTCGATTGAATATTAATTGATCCCAATTTAACTTAATTGATATTTATCTGAATAGTCTATAATGGTAGGGTAGAACAGATGTAATGTTTCACGCAAAATTCTCCATTTAATTCCCATCCCTAGGCCCCGCTATAATGGCTCGTGTTAGAAGACTGAGTGTCACCGATGACGGAGAAACATGTAAGATTAAAATGCCATTCCCTACGTCTATTTTTGGCCCAATGCCCTTATAATTTAAATAGCAACATCATTTTACCATGGAAGTCTCAATAAGCATGTATTTCGATATATATAACATAATACAGAAAGTTGCTCGTTTCATACGATTTTGTATTTTTCTCGCATGAATGCCATATCATTAGGAGGATACGTTATTATCAACGCGCTTCCTTTTATATCTTGCAAAGGTTATTTTCAATTTATTCTTCCATACATTTTTTTTTTCATTATAGAAAATTATTATCATTATTTATACTTTTTTTTTCATTCCAGTTATACAAGCTTACTTTTTATTTATTGTTTTTCCCCTCAATGTCAAATGTTAGTTCAAATTTCAGGGCAAAATCTAATTTGAATTGTAATTACTATAACTTGTTAAATGAAACATGCATTTTTTTATTTTACAGTAACACCCCCCGCCCAAAGAGTTCAGTTTATACTAGGAGAAGATATAGATGATGCAACACTCGAATCGCATCCACTTTTCTCCGAAATGGAAGAACTAGTCAAAGAAGGAGATGAACTCGAATGGAAAGAAACAGCTCGATGGATCAAATTCGAAGAAGATGTAGAAGAAGGTGGCAATAGATGGTCGAAACCTCATGTGGCTACACTCTCTTTACACTCACTCTTTGAATTACGAAGTCTAATTTTAAATGGATCAGTAATTCTGGATATTGAAGCCAGTTCCTTAGAGCAAGTGGCAGATAGCGTTTTAGATAATATGGTTGCTGATGGCTCTTTAGGATATGACTCAAGAGAAAAAGTAAAAGATGCTTTGTTAAGACGTCACAGACACCAACACGAAAAGCGAAATCATAATATGTCAAGGCTGCCTCTAATCCGGTCATTGGCTGATATTGGAAAGAATCACTCCTCTTCCAAAAGTAAGTTTTTTAATCTATATAACACTACCTAGATAATATAATGTTGAATTGGAAGAATGATGTGCAAAACAGACATGTTATATGGATACCCCAATTAATGTGGATGTTTTCTGTATAACTAGTTCCTATTGACCCAATTTCTTTATTCGCGATAGCTATATTGGATCTGTAAATTATAGAACCTATTAATAATAACGACTTTATATATATTTTGGAAATATTCCATCAGACTTCCAGGAGGGTGGCTCTCGACGCTCAAGTGCAAGGAGTTGTCGGGGGTCTACCTCATCCCCTCACACTGCTCTTCTGGAAGCAACCGACACTAGAGGCTCTTATCTAGCTGTTCCAGGTCAGCCAAGCGTGAAGAACGGTAACATTTATGCGAGCTGACTGAATCCACCCTTTGTCTGATGTTGACACATTATGCACTTAGATGCTAATATAAATGTTGTAAATATATACATTATGTATGACATAAGTACGGATTATCAATTAATATTTATTATTACACTTATTGTATGAAAATTGGCATTATACCTGTTACATTACAGTGGATGAAGGCGGTACTACAACTGGACATTCCTACAAAGGAGATTTCACTCGTTTCCTAGGCATCCCTAATGCGGGTAACCGCTTATCCTTTTAAATTGTCTTCCGTGTTGTTTCTTCATATCTTATTTTCGATGTTTAAATTCGTTTCCATGAAATTTCTATAATTCTTAAAAAGTTTTTCATATTCTAATCATTACATTACTCTTCATTACTGTTCGCAGCTAAACAATGCTACTTTTCTAATCTGCTTTCGCTCGTGCTTCATTCGTAATAATTATTATAGTTTGTAAACAGTCATCACCTCTTATATAAAATCAACTTCTAAATAGGTACATATTATGTACATAAATTTTGTATCTTTACACACGCATACACTGCAATCATTAACATTTTTCTATCTTAATAGGTAGGTAAAATGTGAATATTTCAATTAATGTAGTCACAGTATCTTTACGCACAGTGTGTTTAGTATATATTAAATGAAAATTAGTATGCTTTTCAATGTAATTACAAGCTTTACGTCAGTATGATATTAAAAAAAATTTATAATTGTAGGTTCAGCACATGATGAAGGCATGGTTAAAAGTCCAAGTTCCATATCAATGCATCGGAATCATAGTACTGGAGATCTTGCAATGAACGGCGATATAAATCACAAGAGTAATACAAATTTTATGCGTAAAATACCACCGGGAGCAGAGGCTTCGAATATTTTAGTGGGAGAAGTTGATTTTTTAGAAAAAACTCTATCAGCCTTTGTTAGATTGAAAACAGGAACAATAATGGGTGATTTGACCGAAGTACCAGTGCCCACCCGATTTATGTTTGTTTTACTCGGTCCACCAAATAGTAACTCTAGTTTTCATGAAATTGGTAGAGCAATGGCTACTTTAATGTCAGATGAAATATTTCACGAAGTAGCCTATCGCGCTAAAAAAAGAGATCATTTATTAGCTGGGATAGATGAATTTCTTGATGCGGTAACAGTTTTACCGCCAGGTGAATGGGATCCTGCTATTCGTATTGAACCTCCAGCTGCAATACCTTCTCAAGATCCTCGAAAACGTCCAAATGATAGCAATCCTAAAGAAGAACCAGATGAAGAAGAAGAAGAACAAAGACAGAGAGAAGAATCTGGCTTAGCAAGAAGCGGTAGGCTCTTTGGAGGTTTAATGAATGACCTCAAAAGAAAGAAGCCATGGTATTGGTCAGATTTCAAAGACGCATTAGCACTTCAATGTATAGCTTCGTGGATATTTCTTTATTTTGCATGTTTGTCACCTATAATAACATTTGGAGGCTTATTAGGTGAAGCCACTGGAAAAAATATGGCTGCCATGGAATCCTTGGTATCTGGATTTGTATGTGGGATGGGATACGGATTCTTTTCAGGGCAACCCTTGACAGTTTTGGGGTCAACAGGACCAGTACTCGTTTTTGAGACTATAGTATTTGAATTTTGCAAACAAGTCGGATGGAATTATATGTCATTTAGATTTTGTATCGGTACATGGATCACTATAATTTTAGTAATTTTAGTAGCAATAGACGCAAGTGCATTTGTTTGTTATATAACCAGATTTACTGAAGAAAATTTTGCAACTTTGATCGCATTTATTTTCATTTACAAGGTAATATTCTAGTGAAATAAAATATTGTTTTTAGTGCTACCAAAAACTTCATACCTATATTTTTAACTTTGTTTACAGGCAGTAGAAAATGTTATATCTATTGGAAAGAAATACCCACTTAAGACACGCCCTGACGAAGTGCTCAATTATGAGTGCTACTGTTTACCAAGTAATTATTCGAACGTGCCCGAACCATTTAATTGGACCTCAGTCGATAAAGAAACTTGCCAAGTAAATATAAATATATAAACATATAATATTGTTTAAGCTATTACATTTTACAACAGCTATCAAGATTGATATTCTAAACTAATTCTAAAATATTATTCATTTGTTCACAGTTATATAATGGAACTTTGGCAGGAGGAGGATGCGATACAAAAGTTTATGTGCCAGACGTTTACCTGATGTCCATAATATTATTTTTGGGGACATTTACAATATCAGTAATTTTAAAAGATTTTAAAAATTCTTTATTTTTCCCATCGAAGGTACCCATTTGTTATTATATATATTTTAAATATTGAATTTTTCAAAACAAATTTATTTAATCACTAATTACATATAAAATATTTCAGGTGAGGCAAATCATTAGTGACTTTTCCGTTATAATAGCCATATTATCAATGTCTTTCTTGGATTATAAAGTTGGAGTGAAAACGCCGAAACTAGAGGTACCATCAGAATTCAAACCTACTCTCCCTACGAGGAATTGGGTAATAACGCCATTCAGTGGAAATCCTTTTTGGTCGGCATTAGTGGCTATACTACCAGCACTTTTAGGAACTATTTTAATATTCATGGACCAGCAGATTACAGCCGTGATTGTTAATAGAAAAGAAAATAAATTGAAAAAAGGCTGCGGTTACCATTTGGATTTATTTGTATTGGCAATTTTGATACAAATCTGTTCAGTTATGGGATTACCATGGTTCGTAGCTGCTACTGTCCTAAGTATTAATCACGTGAACTCCTTGAAAGTAGAATCAGAATGTGCCGCACCTGGTGAAAAACCTCAGTTCTTGGGTGTAAGAGAGCAAAGAGTGACACATATCCTAATATTCTTAACAATCGGATGTTCTGTAGTATTAACTCCTGTATTAAGCCACATACCTATGCCAGTATTATTTGGTGTATTTCTATATATGGGTGCAGCATCACTAAAAGGACTTCAATTTTTTGACAGGATTTTGATAATGTTCATGCCCCAAAAATATCAGCCGGATCACATGTTTTTAAGACAGGTAATAGTTACTCAGTATTAAAAATTATTGTATTGAAATAAATGACCTATGAAATAATGTTATGAATATTAAATATGTTTTTGAAATATATTTTAGGTACCAATTCGACGCGTACACATTTTCACAGCAATTCAATTGACATGTTTAGTCTGTTTGTGGGTAATAAAATCATTCTCCATGACTTCTATACTATTCCCATTGATGTTAGTCGTAATGATCGGAATTAGAAAAGCTTTGGATTGCTTTTTCACTAGACGAGAATTGAAAATACTGGATGATGTTATGCCAGAAATAACAAAGAGGAACCAGGACGAATTGCGAGAACTGGGAGACGCTGAGGTGGGATGGCATGCAAAGATATTAGGCTTTTGTCGACAAAATTAAACCTTGTATTCAGCAAACCATTTTTGTTTAGTCATCCCGCCATTAGTATCAATCGTTATTTTTTTGTTCACGACTTGTTGTTCTTCAATAAAGTTTCTGTTATTTTGATGCACATGCATTTTATTGTTTCCACCAATATAGTTCTTGTGTTCCTTGTCCATTAATTTCTTTCATCTGAATCTACTTACACATCTCATCTACATTATGAATCGGTAAGTTCAGCACCTTATATCTAGTATTTTTATTGTTTAAGTCTTAATTCTTTAAATATTAAAAAAGATTACATTATAAAATATTTTTCTGTTTACACCTCAAAGGACACCTCAAAGAGCAATCCGCCACCATATCAAGAAAATCTACAGATTCCACTAATCAACGGAAACATTATGAATATACCACTGGCATCAATAAACATATCTGAAGAAGTGAACAAAACGGGGATATGGAAGCAAGTGAACAATAGCAATAAGAGCAAAAATAAAAGTGACTTGAAAGACCTCAAACCCAAATCGATGAAGAAAAAGTTAGTATAATATCTATAGTCATTTTTACCAATTTCAAATCTTGATTCATCAATGTTCTATTTTGTCTTTGTCCTCTGCTAACCTAGGCCATATATACAATTAATGACCTAATAATATACATTTTCATACGTTTACATACATTTTCATAAATAAAATAAACTGTATTTCTAATTTTCAGTAACAAACATAAAAAAATATCCAAAACCGCACTGTCGGAAATCGAGAGGAGACTGTCCACAATGGATGAATTAGAAGAGGATGAATCGGTAAAGGTGTGCGTTAATGACACCAAGTTCTGAATGACGCGCATGGACCAGTACACGCCCTGTGTCGTATCATCACAGCACGTATAAAAAAAATGCGCATGGTCACCAACGCATGAAGTTAAGCAAACCCTTTTAGATTTAGCACTTTTTTATCTATGTACCTATATAAATGTTTAATATTTTAATAACAACTAGATGGAGTGTCAAAGGTATCGCCAAAAACGACCCGGCTTATACAGAGTGTAAAGGACAGGTTGGCCGAAATGAAAACAGCTGATTCAGATGAATGATCTAAATCAGATAGCAGATTATTTTCCCACCGAAAATGCACCACAGTCATACAATTCCATACAAATCCACGCGACGCTTCTTACGTAGCCGTTACCCGAGCAATATCGCTTCTTCGTAGGTAGTTTACAGTTACTAATTTTAATTCCACGCGTCGTGGTAGGATTTTAATACGTGTATTACATTGCTGTTTTCTGGTATTTCATAGTATTTCACTATAAAATATTATTATTTCTTTATATTACGACATAATATAATATATACATAGATTACATGATTTTAAATGAAAATTAACAAACAGGAAAAAATTTAAATTTACCAGAAAGAATTTCCACTGGTTTTCAGTTCAGAATAATGGTCTGAATTCACTGTTTAAATTTCTGCCAACCTGTCCTTTCCACCCTGTATATGCTTGCGTGAATGAATTTTTACCTGTCATGGACTACCACTATTAGTATCATATATATAGTAGCCATCAATCTCCGACTGCCATTTTGTGTATGTACGCTTTGCACCCATATTGCGAATATGCCGAACGGTTAATACTAGGCCCCGAGCGGTGATCTAATAATAATTTACCTGAAGATGCTTTATTTAGAAGTGAAACACGTGTCGCAAAACGTGCGTGAATAAAATGGCAGTCGGAGATAGTTGGCTAATATTGAAGGTTGTAGAACTTCTAGTAGAAATAGTGGTAGTCAATATTAGAGCGTTGGCATTTAAACACATGGTAGTGGAATGAAACAAAATAATTTTAATTAAATAACCAGTGATATAAACTTCCGCAAGATACAATTAAAAAAAAATTAAGAATCATCCAAAAGTTAGCTGGCAACTTTTTTGGCTCGTTATTGTATAGATACTTGTCACTCCATTTAGATGTATAACTATGATGTAAATACAATGTTTTTTTCTGTCTAGTAGCTTATGTTATCACTATACATAATAATGTATTTATTTAAAAACAAATATGTAGTTTGTTATTATTAAAAGTACTTAATACACAACGTATTTTTGTACAATTTTTGTTGCATGCTGTACAATTGTAGATCATAAGTATATAGATAGAGCGTCGAGTTTTAAAAAATATCCAAACGACGACCTACTGTAAGATAAATCTTTTTTTTTTATTTTGATCGTCTAAAATTCTAAATGTTCGATCTCTTGTCAAGATGTATGTATGTACATTTGAAATATATATATAATAATAATTATAAATAAATAAAAAGACGATATGGATGATAAAATTAATACTGAAATCTTAAAGACATTATTTAAAATAAGCGCCTTATTATTTAAAAGTTCTACAGTGTTTGACGTTTATAATTAGACACTCTATCTAGTTGTTATTAATCTATTCAGTGACATCTGTAAAATGTTTAACAGTGAATATATTATACAATGTTATACAATTGTTAGTTACGCATATTCTGGTGTCTGTGTGTGTGTGTGTTTAGATATACATATATCCTCTGATTGATTTCAGAGCGATCTGCTCAGGCGCAAGGAATCATGGAGTGGGGGCATAAAAAAGAGTGACTCTAGAAAAAATAGCTCGTCAGCTGAAACATCGGTCTAAAATATTGCAACATATTATTTTATTTTATATCTTATTAAGTTAAAATAAATATCTATTGTTTTTTCTGTCACAATATAAATTGATGTGAATTTATATAACACAATGTGAAAAAGTAATCAAGGCACTATTACGTATATATAGATATAAATATAGTATTACTGGGTACCTTTTTTATTTTTGTCTATACATATTTTCTTCTTTAGTGATTTTTGTGATATTTTTTAAATAGAATAATTCCTTACAGAGATAACTCCGCCCTTCTATCTAAATAGGCACCTTTATTATCTAATTATAGCAAATTTTATGTCAAGATTTTCTTTTCTTTCTGATGTCAAGATTTTGTAGATAGCCTTCATTATGCATCAAGTCACTGTACCTCTTTACGTGCACTCCGAAATACAAAATCAACAGAATCATAATTTCAAATTGAACTAATAATATTAGAGAAATGACGCCTCAGAATCGACCTCAAAGCAGGTCCAATTTTCAATCTCAACAAGTCTGGCTTTCATATTGATGAAATTTTACATCCCAATTAGACATGTAGCAATTCCAGATATAGATTAAATTAACTAGTTTCCTAGAATAGTGCATTATTTTTCTTTTCATAAGCAAATATTTACCTATGTATTACATAAATAGAAATAGGACTAAAGACAGACATGTCCAGCTGGGGAAAGTATTATAGATTATTAAGAAGCAGTTTTAAATGAATTATTAAAAATACATTTCGGTGTTGTGATAAAGGTGATAAATTTCCATACTTTATATGAATGCTTAATATTTCCTCAGCTGAAATAGTTTATATATAATATATATATATATATATTTATATATGTATAGAATAACCGGTCACATGCAAATTTAAACGAAGTGCCAAGAGCGTAACACCATTTAGATGTTAGATTTTTTTTTATCATTGAACCCTAATGTAAGAATAAATTAGGTTTATACTCTTTTGAAAAACTAAATCCTACATACGCTTTTAGAACTTTTATCAATTGCATTGTCAAATAGCATTTGTGGTCTGACTTAGGGCTTTATAAATGATAAAAATTAAAGTCATAGAACCTGATATCATTAGGTATATTATTAATGGAATCTTTATAAGTCACAGAATAGAAAAAACCTGACTTACGTAATAAGATTTTATTATAAATTTATAAATTACATTTAACAATAATAAATAATGTGTAAGTTAAGAATATAAAAATGTATGCACTTTCGTAGAATCTATATTGCAATCTCTATAAACAATAGCAACAACATTCATGAATTACCAACTTGTTACATACAAGTTATGTTCAACTTAATCTTTTAACCAACTAGTAGGATTTTTTAAGAATTTTTCAGAATGGCAAATAAGTTGACGGCCCATCTGATGTAAAGTCATATCCGTTGCCTATACATATCATCAGCACTGTGGACGGCCCAGGATACACCGTGATGACTGAGATACTCCTCATGAGTTGTCATTCCTAAGGACATTATGTTATGCTCTCGTACCCTGTTATTCCACCGACAAAGAACCTCTACATACGTTAGAATTGTCCGTTAACTGCGTACTACATTATATAATAAAATAGAAACCGTATATAGAATTTTTGGTCCTAAAATAGGCTAGGTGAATAATGAGATTACACGTAGCTTTTATTATCTGCCCATTAAGTAATATTCTTTAATCTAAATAACTAGTTATTTTAGTTTATGTTAGAATAACAATATTAATGATTAAGTGTTCTATATCGAAGTCCCATGTTTATTTATGTATTCGGTATTTACTAGATATATTATCTATGTTAACCTAATAATCTTTATAATAAGTAAACAGAATGACTAAAATCAATAAAAATAGGCAAGTCCAACTAGTAAATTAATTTTCATAACTTCATGCATATAACATGTAATTTCATGCACATAACATGTGATTACATGATCGTTACATGTGTGTTTATATTTTTATTTATTTTAGTCATTCATATTAAAATTATGTAGGACCCTAAGTTAGTTTAAGAAAAGCAATTATTATTATTGTACCTGGATGGATGCGATTGTTATGGGGTTTGTAACGTTTTTGTAATATATTTGTCTATTATTATGAATAAATTGATTTTTATAAATGTACATTATTATAATACAATATGTATTAAATGTGGCTTTTTTTTTCCATTCACCCAAAATATTATTATCTAATGTAAAAGTCTATGAAATCTCATTTAATTGATGTGACCAATTTAAATAAGAATTCTTTTGATTTAGAATTTAGCAGTCTTCTGTATAATCATCCAAATGGAACCCAATAAGATTCGGATATTCATCTAACAGACTTAAAACGCATTATTATATTAACTTCATACGCGGGTAATTAAGGGTGTGCGGGATGAGGGGGACACATCTGTGACCATGAAATGTCATTCATAGAGCTGACGAGCTAAAAGTACCCACAAATTTGCTTGATTAGAAAACAATCTTAGCGTGTTTTATAAATTTAATTAATTACTACATAATTAAAAAATAGACCAAAATTAATATGCACATGCAACAAGTTATTTCTTTTATGTACGGAAATGCCAAATTGTTTACTAAATATGTTTTTAGAAAAATAAATTACAAAATGGTGACTCATTTCTATGTACGGATGCATCAATTGAAAGACAATTTAGCACTTGAATGAAATACATAAATGTATTTTATACTTGTTTAATTTAATGAATACATTATATTACACTTAAATAAATAAAATTATTCTATTCAAATAGCTAAAGGCGGTCAATTCTTCTTTTTCTTTTGATCGGGTAATAAACCCATTTCTTCCTGATATTTCCTGATCAGTTGTTCCTGTACTTCTGGCAAGCATGGTGAGTAACGACTGTACTCCATGCTGAATTCGCCCTTACCCTGGGTTTGAGACCTGTTTATAATAAGAAATATTTTAATAAAACTATTACAAAAATAAATCTTTTTTTCCTATAATTTAAGATACATATTTGCTTGTCAAATTGTCTGTCTATTAGAAATCGTCTCTAATATTTTTTATCTAACAAACTCGGATATGTAACTATTTGAAATGGCAAATAAGTTCATGTCAACAATTTACACTTTTTTTTTTATTTAGATGCAAAAATCTTTTTTCATTTTTTTGTAAGCATATGTCTTGATATTGGTGTTAAACTCTCTAAATTGGGTGGAAAGGGATTGTTAGCAATGGAGTTTGACAGTCCCATTGCTAGCAATATGCTCTATCAAGTCGACCTCCACGTGGTTTCCCCTGGAAACCATCGTGAACATTTCTTATTGAATTCGTCCCAATGGGCTAACTGACCTGCTTCATCCTCATCTATCATCCTTCACTGGTGCCCCATCGGTGTATACCGATAGCGCGGGTGGGGTTACTATTTCATTATCACCCATAAAAAAAACTCTAAATTAAACTACTATTACTCTCTCCATACACTGACGATTAGTGGTGAAAAAGTATTACCGTTAGATGGCAGTATCATTTGAAAAACAAGTCGTGATTCGACAACATAGGAAACATAAATACAACTGCAGTAAAAATTCTCTAAAAACATCATCTCACCTAAGCTCTCCCGCGTATCCGAACATATTGTTCAACGGCACCTCAGCATATAAAGTTGTCCAGCCCTCAGCCCCTTCTGTGCCAGTTATGATACCTCCCCGCTTATTCAGCTGCCCTAGTACAGCGCCGTGGAACTCATCAGGCAGTACCACTTCTACGAACATGATGGGCTCGAGGATTTGCCAAGCGCCATCTTCGAATACTGTTAAAACATGATTGTATTGTAATATTAAACACTGATATTTCAATGATTTTAACGAGTTAATAATGTCAGTTTGTTAGTAATGCTTATAAAAGCAATTTATAATTTTATTAAGAACTAGCTTTTGCCTTCTACTTCGTATGCGAGATATACATACTTCGGAAATAGTAAAATCAATAAAATAGAAAACTTCTAGACAGCATATCAGGATAAAACATACACCAGATTTTAGGTTAGATTTTCAAAACTGTAAAATCCACCTCCAATTTGGTGCAGTGATTTTTGTGTGCCGAAAGAAACATACAGAAGAAAATAAGAAACATATTTTTACCAGAGGGCGACTTTGTACAAAAGTGGTTTGCTGGGGTACCTCTGTCCTATTCGTATTTCAACCGTAAAGCAGTTGTTTGCATGGCTGTGTTTCGGTTTATTGGGTGGAATATGGCGTGAATTTATAGGGTACAGAGGAATAACACCTGAGTCCTCAGGAATGGCAACAAATGGGGGGCGTTCATGGGCGAAACAGTATACTCTGTTATGTCCGTGGTACTGCTCATGTCTATAGGGGACGGTTACCACTTTCAATCAGGTGGGCCGTCAGTTTGTTTGTCATTCTAAGTTGTATAAAAAAAAAAATACAGACAGACAGACAACATTTGTAAAAATTATTGTTTTGGCATCTATTGTTCTTATTAGAACCCCTCAAATTAATTTTTCTTAAATATCTCCCATATACAGATATTGTCTAGGTGTAATTTTATTATATTAGTAAGAATTTATTTCCAGGCCACGCTTTGTATACGGTTTTGTTTATTTTATAATCAATTATAGTGAATTAAAACATCTGCAACTGGTAATTTTTGGCAAACCCTCCCAAGGGGGAGGCTTATGTTCAGCAGTGGAAAGTCAAAGGCTATATGATGATGATGATAATGAAATGTCTATAGTCCTATATATACGTCTAGTGGCTTTATTCGAAATTATTGGGATGAAAAGGACTAGTAACACATTGTATTGCTGATCTCGTGATTATTCTGTATAATCTTATACGAATACTCTTTCGAACCAAAAAAGAATTTTCCAAATCGATGTAAAACTGATGGAGTTCTGAGGTAACAAACTTTGAAAAATACAACCGTATATAATAAGTATTAATAATATTAAATTATGCACTTCCTCCTTTTTTAAGTCGGTTAAAAATATTTTTTTATAATTACAAACCATCTTTAACAGCTCCTTTAGCAGCCAGGAAGAAAGCAAGCTCGCTGGAGTCCACGATGTGATGCGCGCCGTCCTGCAGCCGGAACTTTACACCGGAAATCTTGTGTCCAGACAAATAACCCTTTTGGCATGTGTCAAGGAAACCTTTCTCCACACCAGGCACGAACTGCTTCGGGACATTCGTTCCTACTGTTTCATCGACGAACTCTAGCACTGGAAATAGTGTAAGATTTAACATCAAGAGAGTTTCAACTGCAAAATTTACAATGTTTCGAATCACCTTTCAAAATTCAAACCTAACTTCGTGGTAAAAGTATTCGAAAACTACAAAAATAAGTATGGATATTTTATTAATTTTTTAGTAAAATTTATATGCAGTTCGTTCTATGAATATTAATTTAAAATAAAAAGTTCTTTCATGAGAAAAGTCTATAAGTATTATACATTATTTTTACACTAACTGTTTCTCGCGGCTTTGCCCGCATGAATTAGTATAAAAACTTATTAAATTAAGATATATCCTACCCGTGTACCAAATTTTTTTCAAATCCATTCAACTGATGGAGTAACAAGCATAAAAACATCCAAATGTATTTACAAACTTTGACATTTATAATATTAGTTTAAATTCGAACATTATTATTCTTCATCTAATAGACAGCTTTATGGACACTTATCTAATTTCAAACGTTTCATGTGTATTTTAACTATGAAACAAAATTATCAAATGATTCAACCAGGTACTTAATAAATCAAAACTTACTGGTATTCTGATGTGGTGGCAAGGGCTCCAAGATGCCTGATACCCTGGCGAACTGACCAGCACCACCAGACTGTTTCTTATGCAGGTAATCGAAGGTACACGGCGACATTAATGTCTCCCTACAATAAAACATTAATAGTCCACAATTATTTTAGATTTTTTTTTTTTATACAACTTAGAATGGCAAAAAAATGATGAAAATAAAAAAAAAGCAAAGTACAATTTTAATAAATTAACAGAAGAACGACGAGACGCATGTACATCATTTCGAATGTTACTTTTCCGTAACTAACCATGTAGTGTAACCTGCATCCACTGTGATCCTACAACACAGTGAAAATGATGGCTCCATCCAGTAGGAGGTTGTCATGACTTTGCTAGTATGAAGTTGGTATTCGAGATTCTTTAATATCCATTAGTCATAGTATATTTAAGTTCCATGTGGTCTCGGCATAGAATAAACCACCCCTTCCTTCCCCGTGGGTGTCGTAAGAAACTAAGGGAGGGCGAGGGATAGACAGCAACGTCTCTCTTAAAACATCTCCAAAGCCTAACTGGGGTTGCCAATTCGCTTGCTAAGCGTGGCAACTACTGGCAACCCCCCCCCCCTCCTGCAAGGGGGAGGCATATGTTCAACAGTGGACAGTTAGAGGCTGATATAATGGTGATGATGATAGTATATTTAAACTATCCTATAGATATGACTAGCATATAGCCACTTTATCTTGCTGATACTATATGACATACTGGTCAAGTTCACTCTCCCCAAATATACTCATTTCGGATTACTGCACACACCAGAACTAGGAACATTATCATCTTCATGGCTTACTTGGAGCTTCTTCACATGACTATAAAAATAAGACCATGGGAAATAACAAAGTCGATGCAGAAGCACCATTTATCTAGCCTTATATCTTAATTTAATACTTTAATTTTATAATTTCGCGAATATATTGTTTTATGTACACACTTGCCCATATATTAAAGCTTCAAATTACTCAGCAGGCTATGGAGAGGGCTAGGCTTGGAGTGTCTTTACGTGATAGAATCCGAAACGAAAATATCCGCAAAAGAACCAAAGTAACCGACATAGCCCGTAGGATTAGCAAGCTGAAGTGGTAATAGGCTGGTCATATAGCTTGAAGAACCAACAACCGATGGAGAAGAAAGGTTCTTGAATGGCGACCCCACACGGCCAAACACAGTATAGGACGACCCCCTCTAGATGGAGTGACGACCTCAAATGCATAGCAGGGAGTCAGTGGATGCAGGTAGCTCAGGACCGTTCCATATGGCAGTCTATGGGAGAGGCCTATGTCCAGCAGTGGGTGAATGACTGAAATTATGTCTGTTTTATGTACCGTCATAAACTATGTTCTATAAGTATCGACATATTCAGGTAAATTATCATAGTTCACATAAATGATCGCGTTAATTTTAGTTTCTCATAAAATATAAAAGTTGCAACATCTCAGAATCGAACAAAATGAAACGAAAAATAATTAGTTTCATTATTAATAGTTAAAACCTTTTTGCGTGTCCATTAACGTGTTAATATAAATAAAATTATGTATATAAATAAAAAATTAAAGATTGCACACCTAAACGCCACTTTAGGCTTTCCGAGTTCCACCGGACAGTTATACTCCCGCTCCATCCTCTGTGCATATATCTCTAGATGCAACTCTCCCATACCAGATACAATAGTCTCCTTGTTATCCGAGTCGTATCGAAACTGGAATGTGGGATCCTCTTTTGTAAACCTACAAATATGAATTAATATTATTATTTTTGTAGTACCAGAGGAAAACTGTACAAAAAATGTCTGGTTGGGCACTTCTGTACTGTTTGTGTTTCTGTCATGAAGCAGTTGTGTTTAAATGACTGTGTTTTAATTTGAAGGGTGGGATTTGGCAGTAGAATTATTGGGTACAAAGACATAAAACCTCAATGTGGTTCCTCCTAGAAACCATTGCGGTTAATTCTCGTGGAATTTGTCACAATGGGCTAACAGACCTGCTTTCATCCCCACCTATCGTACCTAACTGATGTCCCGCCAGCATGTACCAACAGCAGTGGAGTTGCTATTTCATTATCACCCATAAATAAAAAAAATGTTTCAAGTTTCTTATATCCATGGTACTTATTCATGTCTATATATAATATATTTAGGCTATACAGTAACTATGATTATGTTTGTATTTGTGCCATACCAAAGAGAGAGAATACAATATCATTCTACATGCTATATCTATTTATATAGCTCTTATGCATACTGTGTTCTAGTTTGAAATGTGAAATTAATGCTTACTGTGACTCAAGGTCTTCTTGTCATAAGGGCCTTCCTCAGGATTCAAATTCCCCATAGCCAATTTCAATAAAATTGGTCTAGTATTTTAACCATGAAAACCAAGTAAATAGAAAGTATTTAAAGGAAGTCAGTATATGGCAAAAGCTATTGTGACCAAAAATCCAAATATATAAAATATTTTACCTAGCAACAGCTTTAGAGAAATTATCTCTGTCCTTGTTGTTCTTGGGTTTGATCGCCATAGAGACAACGGGATCCGGTACATGAATTGATTCCATCGAGAGATTCAGTTTGTTATCATTGACAAATGTATCACCAGAGGCGCAGTCGACACCGAACAATGCGAATATATCGCCGGCGAGTACCTCATTCACTTCTTCCATGTTGTTTGAGTGCATTCTGACAAGACGCGAAATTTTTACCTGAAATTAGTTTTATAACTATAGAATAAAATTTATCAGCAACGGCAATGGTAGTTTTGTGTTGGTATTATATATGGATGATGTAAAAATTGGATTATATAGTGGTACCATGTGAGTTTAGTGAAGTTGATAAATTTTCATTATTGGCTTGAATGAAACTTGTTTACTCGTTAATTAAAAATATTCCAATATTATAATTTTTCGATACTGGCAAGTTACAATAATAATGTTTTAGTTCTTTTACTACTCTCCTGAATATGTGGCAAATGATTTTATGAATATATATGTTATCACCACTGCATGCTCGAGATAGCAACGTCTAACATCTCGTTCTTTATCATACCCTGGTCTAATCACATCGATTTTATTAAAATATTCATTTGCCACTAGTCTATGACAGTAATCACTAGATAGTATGAAACAAAGTCACTTCCCATCTATCTGTCCCTATGTATGCTTAGATCTTTAAAACTACGCCACGGATTTTGATGTAGGTTCGAAACCAGGGCGGGTCACTAGTAGTTAGTATATATACTACTTCAAACTATATGTCAAAATTTGTTTACCTTTTTAAATGTTCTAGCATTAAAAATATTATCACCACGCTTCAAAACACCCTGATAACATCTGAGATAAGTTAGCTGACCAAATTTGCTCATTTCTAACTTGAATGCTAAACCGACAAATGGCTTTTTACCATCTCTTGCAGGATCCAATATTATATTCTGGCCGTCCCCATCTTTGTCTTCGTTCAATATGGCTGTATTTTCCACCTCGCCAGGGTGTGGGAGGTAATCTAACACTGCATCCAGTAAAGGTTGGACACCTTTGTTTTTTAGGGCTGTACCCAAAAGAACAGGCGTAAACGAACGATTGAGTGCCGTACGACGAATAGCCTGCTTTATATCAGTAATCGATGGTGTTTTTTCTTCCAAAAATAATTCTCCTAGAATTATTAAACATTATATAATAATCTTTACATAAAACTTCAAAAACCGAATAATTTACTAAAATAATACTTTAATAGCTGATTGGAAAAAAATACTGTTAATATTATAAATAGGAAAGTTTGTAAGTATGGATGGATAGATGAATGTTTGTTACATTTTTCATATAAAAACTACTACATCAAATTGAATGCAGTCTTCACAGTTTTATATCTGGAGGTCTAATTTAAAATCTGGTATATGATTTGTCTTGACACACCATCTAGAAGTGAACTATTTCAGTGGATTTCCTACTTCTGTAATCCACAAGTATGAAGTTGCAACCTAAAAGCTAGTAATTAATAAATTAAAAACACCTAAAGTCTTATAATAAAAGTTCCATTACCTAAGGTCTCATCTACATTAGAAAGATGCTCGATTAGTTCATGTCTCCGTTCCTTTGCTTCAGTTCTTTTGTCCTGTGGTATCTCATCCAAACGGACCTTTTCACCATAGTCACCATCAAAGTATACTGCTTTCTCTTCAATAAGGTCTACAATCCCTTGACATTCTTTTTCTAGGCCTATAGGTAAGTGAATAAATGCAGCATTATGGTTCATCTTTGATCGCATTTGTTTCAATACCCTGAAATAGATTTTAATAATTTATAAAACAAGTGCTATACAAAATAGTTCATTATATAAAAATACATGGTTTGTAAATATATGAAATTTTTGCATACATGTAGCTTAACATAATTGTATAGCTTAACAAAACATTTAAAGGACAGGCCTCATAAATTTACATTTTTCATAACACACACCTAAACATTACTAAACGCTTTAATAAATACTGTTAAGAAATATGTATAAAAAATATAACTGATTTAATAAAGTTTTACTGTAGTTACAAGGCTTTTAATCCATAAATTTATTTTATTTAATTCCCCTAAAAAATCCTGGAAACTAAGAAAGACAGAGCAGATTGGACTCCAACCCTTAACTGTTAAGCTGATAGCTATTCTGATAGCAGTGGTAACTGTCTATAGATAGTTACACAGCATCACAAACATCACAGAATAGTTACACTGTAGGGCTCACAGTACCCCTCTTGGATTTCCATTCTTCAAGACTTAAGTGTCCCACATTTCAAACTGAAACACAGCTCTACATGCACAGTTATTTGGAAGTAGACACAAATGGGACAATAGTACTCCTTCAGATGATTCTTTTAGAATTACCCTTTTTTTATGCAGCTTAGAATGTTTATGGCCCACCTGAAAGAAAGTAATAACCATCACCTATAGACATGAACATAACTATGAATATAGCAGAGTATACTGTGTTACCCTTCATGTGTTGCCATTTTAGAGGATTAAAACTACTTCCCTTTAGTGAAAATCTACAATACAAATTTCTATTAAGTTAGTATGTCAACTTACCTCTCAGGATTGGCTCCTAATCTATCAAGTTTATTTATAAATGCAAGACAAGGTACATTATACCGTTTCATCTGTCGGTTAACAGTTAATGTCTGACTTTGGACACCACCGACAGCACAAAGGACCAGCACAGCGCCATCTAACACCCTCAATGCTCTCTCCACTTCCACTGTGAAGTCCACATGTCCTGGAGTGTCTATTATGTTAATATTGTGATCTTTCCACAAGGTATATGTTGCAGCAGACTGGATAGTGATACCCCTTTGTCTTTCTAACTCCATTGAGTCCATGACCGCACCAACATTGTCTTTACCTTTAACCTAAATATGTATAAATTATTAATATCTATCAACATAATAAATACAATAGTGTTTATATCTAATATTGTGTTAGTACCTCATAAAAGTGCTTGTAAATAAAGATAATTTCTATTCTACACACAATGCAAAACCATTAAATTTGACAAACAAACTGGAAAGAATTAAAAAGTATAACCATCACATAATGAAATAAAAATAATGAAAATGAATTAAATGCTAGATTTTAATGAAAGTAAATTCTACAAATGCTGTGTGGTCCCAGCATAGAATGGGCTACCCCTTCCGTTCCCATGACTGTTATAAGAGGTAACTAAGGGAGCTCAATAGTCAAGGTATTGTCAACAGCCCCTCTTAACACATCACCAAAGCCTAACTGTGGTTGCCAACCAACCTGCAAAATTTAATAACCACTGACAAAATCTCTCCAATGGTAAACTGTCATAAGAAACAGAGCTGTTCCTATCCAGTCTACTTTATTATATAGTCTATGTTCAACAGTGTATAGATAGCAGCTCATATGATAATGAAATTCTACAAACCTCATGCATTTGATTGATTCTCCCTGTGTAAAATAATATTCGTTCTGTCAAAGTGGTTTTACCAGAGTCAATGTGGGCTGATATACCAATGTTCCTGATTTTATCCAAAGCTTTGTGTTCTGCATATTTCACGTATGAAGAATACGTCTGAAATTGGAGTAATTATATATGAACGAATAAATTATTTTAATTAAGTATTTTTTTTTGTAATCATTATAACTAAAATTATAAATGGATAGTAAAATTAAATTGCACGTAATCTTGCCTCACCTGACGATCTTTTTAAGAATTACTATATATTTCAGGCATGAGCAATATTTACATATAAATAATTTCATATTACCTATCCTATTTCTATAATAAAAAGATTACATAAAATTTCCAGAAAAATCAAGGCATATATTGGATATTAAAAACTTCGGTATGAAAATAGACACTTACTTCCAATTGTAAATTTAATTTGGTTGAATTTTTAACAATATTTGTCAATCGCAACAAATTAAATATGGTCATTATGGTAACTATTAAAATTAAAATTATATCACAGATTAAAAGCTAACATCGATTTAAGAATAATTTTGAGGTTAGAAAAATGTCACTCCACAGATAAACAGTCTCACATTGACATTTGACATGTTCTTGTTTAAGTAGTGGTAGCATTGTGCTGTGACTGGCCTATTCACATGGTTCGTGAATAATTAGGCAGTTTATCTCGAGCAAGTTTTTTTCACAACTTAGGCAGAATCGTATGAAACTGTTGTGTTTATGACTTAAATTACAAGAAATAGAATATATTTGGTCACCTGGTTTATAATAAAAAAAAAAATGCACCTAAATCCCAATTTATGTAACAGTCGATTTATGCTTTCTTACAATGTCAAATAATCATAATACGAGTTTTAAAAGGAATTTATATAATTATATCTATAAATCTAGAATAAATAACAATATTTCTTACAGAAATGTATAGTTTACAAACAATTATACTAGCGATTATAAAATCTAATAATGTGAATTATATTAACGAATACATGGATTTCAATTTTTTACGTAAATGTATAAATGACTGTGTAGGTCCCGGCATGGTACTAGCCACCCCTTTCTTTCCCTTGGATGTCGTAAGAGGCGACTAAAAGAGGGCAAGAAATGGACAGCAGCGTCCTTCTTAAAACATCTTTAAAGCCTAATTGCGGTTGCAAATCTGCTTGCCAAGCATGGCAACTACTGGCAAAACCCCCTTATGACGGAGGCTATGTTCAAAAGTGTACAGTATAAGTATCAGAATTTCATGGATTATTTATTGACTGCAGACGTATTTATAATAAATAAGCACAATATATTTAATCAAATCGAGGACAAACAATCCATAGACACAGTAAATCTAGAAGTGGTACGAAGTTGTTTACTTTATTTTGTTATGTTGGCAGATACGAATTCTATAGACAAAAAAATCAGTTTCGTTTTAGTTTAAAAAGAATATGGCCGTGTTAGGCCCGTCCGTGAGTGTAAATATGAATGGGCACAATAATATTCATAGTCAGTTAACAAAGTCTTTAGAAAGAATTTTAGAAGATGCTTACTTAAGTGGTGAATTAAAACTCAGTGGTCGAAAATTGCGGGAGTTCCCAAAACCTGTGAAATTCGACTTGAGCGATACAGTTGTGGCTGGTAAGTTTGATTTATAAATAAATCACATTGCATTTCTAGTCTATTTACATAATATTCCCTCTATTTTCGTTTTATGTTCTTACGTCCCTTTGAAAGATTCTAATATATTTGCTGTATTAATATATTTTGAATGCCGGTATCATCGCGTCCACTGTTTGTCATCGATCGGAAACTATACCTGTGCATTAGTCTTTTATATATTTCGGAATTGATAACATACAATATCAGATAATATCAATATATACCTTCCTTTTCGTAATTATAAACGTTCGGTCATGTAATCTTGACCCTGTAAGCAACTATTTTGTTGTTAATGCATTTGTAAACAGAGTCAAATAATATCATTAAATAATGTAATTTAAGAAAGTATATTGATGGTAGTTTCGCTGTTAGACTTTGTAAACATTTATACTTACCTAATGTATCTAGAAGAATATATCATGCTTTTGGACCATCCATACTCTTTATTTTTGTTGTCATACAAATTTCTTAAGGCTCTTTGGTTGCTGTGGTTCTCTTTTTTTGTGACTGTATTATTATATATATACCACAGAATAAGTAATAGTACTAATATTTATAAGGAAGTAGTTCCATTTGCACAGTAGTGCAAATTGATAATTTGTAGTAATTATGAATTTTTTTTTTAATTTCTATTTAAATTACAACTCTGATTAGGTACCAGTAAGGGATAATTAGTGAGGATTCATCCTCATCTGCCTATAGGTATGTCTGTAATAAACTCCCCAAATCTGAGTATGGAGATTTTTTACTTAGTAAAAATCTGAGTAATTGCAAAATTGTTTTATCTAAATGATGAATTTCTGAGGGAGTAAACCATATTAATTATGAAAAGAATTAATAAATTTTATTCAGTATTTGTGAAAAAATTGTATAACATACATAGAAAAAAATTAAAAGCTCTTGAATTTCTAAAAAAAGAAATATTAGTATGTTAACCAATAAAGGAAGAATTTCTTCTTTTTGATTCTTCATATTCATGTTCAAACCAATGAGTTAAAATCAATGTTAATATAAACATTTATCTAGAGAGTTAAATGTTGATATTAGCTTTGGTTTTGATAATAAACATTCAACCCTTTATAAATCTATTGTTATAAGGGACAGACTTTGTAAATAAGTAGCTAGCTCCATATGCCATTTGTGGGATAGATAGAAGTCTGAACAGTTATTGAACTGACTGTCTAGGAGTTCTACATAGTTTTATTAAACTGTCTGGCTAGGTACTTAAGTCTCTTAGCTGGATCTTTATATTAAAATATTTATGTCTGTACAAGCCAATAAAACCAATGATTTTAATAATTTTCTAAATGGCTTATCAAAATAAAACATACACTATGTTTTAAGTTAGATCTTCAAAAACATCATTGTGAAAATCTGATCTAATTTAGTGTTGTAGTTTTTGTGTGATGGTGGAATAAACATATAAACAGACAGACACAGAAAATTAAAAAAAATCCCTCAATTTTTTTTTCTTAAATGCCTCCTATGTACAGATATCTAGTTACAATTGTACTATATTTGCTTTTCCTCACATTTTCGTCCATGTGACAGGATATGTTTACTGATCAGAATAAAAAGTAGCCTATATCTATATATAGGCTACTTTTTATTATTATGAAATTTGATATATTACATATATTACAATCATTAAGAAATTTGATATATACATACTATTATGTATATATCAAATTTAAAAAGGATTGATTAAGCCATTAAGGCGCTATAAGATAACAAACTCACTTTCATATTTATAATATAAGTAAAGATTCCTGCCAGGATTTTTTTCTAGATACAAAGGTATGATGATGATGAATCCTGACCATTTTTGCTCACTGCGACCGCTTTCTCTGCTATTATTAATTCATTATCTGCCCAATAGGTAGATATATCTAAATACCAAAAGCATAATACATTACAAAAAGAATTGTGATGCGGATTTTTCTACCGTGTCTCAAGAGTCATGGTCACGGCGAAACTGATGCAATGCGGGTATCGTTAGGACTGAAGGGCGCACATATTTGTTTACCCTCTTTTTGTCGTTTATTTTCGTTCGGGATGAAACTGCGGGAATTTTCCTTTACCAAAGTCGCTTCGACAATATAAACTTTCGATTTCATTATGTATAAAAAAATATCAAATTTTTTCCACTTATCAATAGTGAAATATTTATAAAAAATATGTCGCATTCACATTATATAAATTCTTTTTTATTCAAATTATAGGCATAATTTAGCGCTGTACATGTCTTTATTATTACAACGAATAAGACAGTTTGTCTTAAATGGAAATAAAAACATTGTTTTACGGAAGCGTATTTCCTAAGTAGACTCGAGATATTAAAAGGCAACATTATATCTTATAGTCATTCAGCTCGCCATATCTGGTTTTACGACGGTGGATGGCGCCAACATCACAACGGCTGTTCTAAAAGCGTTTATTTATTTCGGCATTTCGCCGCTCGAGTGGGCGATAGTCCGATGGACAGTCAAACGGAGTGGTTTTACTACATGTGCTTAGATGGTAGATTATAACGACTCACTTGAAGTCGGAAATATAGTAATAAACACACAGATATAGTTTAAAACAGATGTGGCAATTGGATGTCATTTTCATGTCATTTTGTATTCTAAATAAGGTAATGATTTTTATTTAAAATTCTTTAAAATGAACGAAGGTTATTATTTTGTTATTAATATTATAAATGTGAAAGAAAGTTTGTTTGTTTGCTTATTATTTTTTAGCGCCTTAACCACTTAGCCAATTACTATGAAATTTTGTGTATACGAACTACATGGGATGGAGAAGGATTCCATAGAAATATTATCTTAATCGGGTCAATAGTAGTAAATCAAAGTAATTGTTTTTATTTAAAAACTACTGATTTTGCCATAATTGAAGTCGGTTTTTTTTTAGAACACAATCTTACTATTATATAAGTACAATGAAGAGATGTTTATTTGGAATAAATATTAAGTTTCACTAATAAAACATTCCCTTAAAAGGATGCAAATAATATTGATTGTACTCTCTATAAGCCCGAGTATTTAATGTCTTTGCTTGAAATAAACAAAACATAAATATTATTGAATGCGAACATTACCAGACGTTGTTTTGATATAAATCTATGTATAGAATAGCTGTACCCGCGGTTTCGCCCGTATATAAATTATATTATGTCTAAAGTTATAATCTATTCTTATACAAAATTTTATTCAAATCCGTTAAGTAGTTTTTGCGTGAAACAGTAACGAAACATTCATCCCTCCATACCAACGCGTAAACTTTCGTATTTATAACAGTAATAGGAAGTATAGTGCACTGTCGGACACAGTCATCACCACGTTAGGACCGCTCATTAACCACACCTATTTTTCAACCCGGCAACATAGTTGTTGAATGATATGGGTTGGTCTCTTTCATTCTCATTACACCGATCAATTAATTGGTAGTGTCAGTGTGGCATTTTTCCTATATTTGGTAGCTGAAACTTATATCTTATCTTAATTTTATAAGGTGATTTTTAGTAATGCGGACTACCAATCATATTGCTAGCAATATACCCTGTCAGGTCGACTTCCACGTGGTCCCCCAACCCGTGAAAACCATCGTGCTTTATTGTAGGTGTATTCATCACAATAGGCTAACTTACCTTCTTTTCATTGTCACCTATCATCTTAAACTGGTGCCCCGTCAGCGTATACCGTTAGCGCAGGCGGGGTTACCATTCTATTATCATCCATAAAAAATAAAAGTATGGAATAAGTCCGCCATTGTACAATAAATGTATGTGTTGTGAGTAAAGTATGTACAATAAAGATATTACAATACATTTATTTTATTAAATTCATAGATATTTCACGCAAATATCTACCAATAGAAATAGATATTAACTTATACGAATTATAAAATAGGAATAAATCTATAAAAATCATTGCTGCAGTGTAGTTATTTAGGAATAAAACAAAAGTGAACGATGATGGAGTTGCCGCAGCATACTGCAATGCAGCATACTATGACTCGAGTGCTGCCCGACTAGTGGTTCGAAACGAGAGTCAATGTTTATCTAACTCGACGATAATCAGGTGCGGAGAGAGTGAAGCATGAATCTGAAGCGGTTTTGAAATAGAAATAGTGAAGTGCTGATATACTCGTTACATAGATAGGAAATATGCATTTTTAGGTTAGATAAGAAAGTCATATTGATATTTATCTAAACGAAATACATAGATATAATTTGATAACATTTGATGTCATTGCCAATTCTTAATTGGAAGATATGTATGACTGAAGGTAATTGATTTAGACTAATTTAATATGGTTTTGATAGCTATTTATCTATATTACGTATGAATCAATTTATTGTACTTGATTAATACTCTTTAATTAATATAAATTAATAAAAAAATATTTTTAGGTTTAATATTAAAATATTTTTTAAGTGACGTCCAAAACAAGTACACCTTATTCCTCAGGAGTGATAACGCATCTTCGGTGTGTCCTGGGCGAACCAGTATACTCTGTTATGTCTATGATATTGCTGATGTCTATAGGCGACGGTTACTACTTTCTATCAGGTGGACCCGTTCCATCCTCCCATCCTATCCTATCATCCCATGGGTGATACCATCTGCGGTATTCTAAAAACGACAATCTGTAAACTTTATTACATATGTATTATTTTGTGTGTTAAAGTTATGTAATCATTATATTACTAAGTAAATTTTATTATTAAATTAAAAAGTGTGCAGTGTCTACGAACACCTGTGGTTACTCTATTACGGATTACAGTCTTGAGCATATTTTATAGTCGGTACGAGCTGCCACATATGTTTATTCTATTTAGAAACTTAATAGAAGTTGAAAGTAGATCACACAAATGCGTTTTCCCTGGTAACATGTTTCTACGAATAAATAATGCTCAGTTACAAATTTTACATCACATTGTAAAGTTAGAGGGAAAGTACCTACCTACATCGTCA